CCTGTGGCTCATTCTCCTTGGACAGCACCATGGCAACAACCTCTGGGACTTCCTGTAATATTGCTGGTGTGAAAGTGTCACAGTCTTATTCTGGTTAGCAGTTCCTGCTTCAGCTGCTGGTTTACTGACTTTAAAAATCCAGTCACGTTCCAAATCCTGCTGTACTGCACTCCCCAATCCAGGCCACGTTCCACACCCTGCGGTACCACATTCTCCAATCCAGGTCACATTCCAAATCCTGCTGTACCACATTCTCCAATCCAGGCCACGTTCCACACCCTGCTGTGTCACATTTCCTAAATCTAGGACATGTCCCAAATCCTGCTGCATCACATTCCCTAAATCCAGTTCATGTTCTAAACCCTGCTGCATTACATTCCCTAAATCCAGAACATGTTCCAAACCCTGCTGCATCACATTCCCTAAATCCAGGACATGTTCCAAACCCTGCTGCATCACATTCCCTAAATCCAGGACATGTTCCAAACCCTGCTGCATCACATTGCCTAAATCTAGGACACGTCCCAAATTCTGCTGCATCACATTCCGTAAATCCAGGACATGTTCCAAATCCTGCTGCATCACATTCCCTAAATCCAGGCCACATTCCAAAAACTGCCTGCACTGCACTTCCCAATCCTAGACATGTCCCAATCTGTGCTGCACCACATTCCCTAATCCAAACCATGTTCCCAACACTTCTGCACGACATTTGGATTCAGTCGAGTTCAGACAGAATTTGTACTATAATAATTTAGTTGCAATGCTATGATAAATTGTAGTTTACTGAATTGTGTATCATAGTAAATAGTGTATTTTGAGCTACTTGGCTGAACTCTGCTCTAATCTGACAGGAACAAGGGGAACATTAGGTTTATCTTCTGCATTTGGGATCTAGACAAATTTCACCTCCATATTCATGGAGGGATTGACATGTCCTCTCTCTATTTAGCTCCTGGAGGATGAAGAGTAGAAACAGAGAAATAAGAGACACTGCAGCATGTTCTCCTGTTTCCCATGTTCTCCTGTTTCCCATGTTCTCCTGCTTCAAAGGACAAAGCAGATGAACTAAATCCAGCATGCAGGGATGCGTTTGTGATCTGTGCAGTGCAGTCAGAGAGAGACGGAGATGTTCTGGCACAGTAAACCCAGAATGCCATTCAACCATAGAGTGAGAAGAGTACAGACCCGGGGGTGGAAAGCCGAGAGGCTCAGAGGAGCCTGTAAACCGAGAACAGAGCACACAGGGGATTCAGACAGTCTGAAGGCTACATGCTTTTGATTAAGCTGACAGGTTATCACTCTCTGTACCGTCCAGGCAGCCTAAAGGGACGCCACACTGACCTGTCTGACCCACCAGACTGTCTGTACTCCACAGTGGATTTCTTAACAGCCATTTCACAACCTTCCAGATATGTGTGTGCAGACCCCCCAATGAGCATTGGAGGGGGAGACAGAAAATTTCCCTAAAAGCATGAAGAAGAACCACTTAGAGGAACCAAGACTGAAAAGTACAGCATAAGGAAGAAATGCTGAGAAGAACCAAGATTCAAAAGGAGAAACACTCTAAGAGCATGATGAAGAACCACTCAAAGAAGAACCAAGATGAAGAACCACTGAGGAACCAAGACTCAAAGGAAAAAAATATGTGAGACAATTTTACAAGGAAGCTGAAGCATGTTAACAAAGAAGTCTGGGATCAGACAGATCCAGGAAAGATCCAAGAGATAAACACCTGGAGGAGAACCTGACTGTGTGGAAGATGAACAGGATAGTAGATGTTAAACTTGTTGGACACATACAGGATGGTAAACTACGGGATTACAAGATTACTTAAATCTAGAAACAGGTTCTTGCAGGGTTGCAGGCATGAAGATCATTACTGATCAGGACAGAACTTCAAGCAGAAAGTGATGACTGACTATTCAAAACATCTATGGGGCAAGTTCAGGTCCTGGATGTTCTAGCAGAGTTCGAGTGATTTTGCTGCTCACCTGGTTCCACTAGTTACCAGATTTAGGTATCTGTCGGTATCTATTCGGACGAGATAAGTTTTATATGAGGAGATTGGTAATGTAATTATTACCAGCATTTTTCTGTGAGTTCCCGTCCGAATGTGCCATGTCAGTCATTTTTACCAGTGGCGCTCCTGCATCAGTGAAGATTCCGGTGCCTTTTACCTTCAATAAACGAGGCATAAAAATAACCTCAGGCTGTGTTAATCCTGTGCAAATCGACATTGCTAAAAACGCTGTTCAGTCCTGTGGAGAAGGAGTTTCTCAAGAGGCTCAAGGAAGCGTTTGCTTTTGTTTTCTGATGAAGTTGAAGTCAGTTTCTTATTCGCCAGCTTCTAGTTAGAATTGCCCCATTCCACCTTAAATGGTGCAACAGTTATTATTTTGAGGCGGCAGAATGTAACTGCTGCACCATTTAAGGTGGAACGGAAAAATTCGAACAAGAAGGTGGTGGATAGGAAGCCACTTCAGCCTTGTGGTTCCCTGCAGCTAAAATCAGGCTGATGTGTAACGTTACTGTTCTGTCTCATGTGTACAACTCAGAACACGTAAAAATTACAGATAAAAAGTTGATGTTGCCTGTTGGCTGTGAATTCAGGCTAATGGTGATGCTAATGAATGCTGCATTCACTTAAGACAGAAAGGCAAATGGTTAGAGTAAACAAAGTAACTGCTAAATTAAACGTTTTAATGTCTTTTCTGCTCTTCTCTGGAGTGAAGACACCGTGTAAATCGAGCAGTCGCTCCATCTCTGTCTTTTAAACAGAGATTTCTTAGTTCATGTGAATTGCTCATCAACATTACAGACGTCCTGAGGCTCACTGGTATCATCCACCTCTCCATGGAGAACTAATCCCATCCGAATCAGGCTTTTGACAAGGAAATCACCAAACTATGGTGGCCTCCATCCCTCCAGAGCTGGTGCTGATGACCCCGGCTGTAGGTCATCCAGGTGAGGCTTCTTCATCACAGCAGGAGGGTGAGCGGCAGGTGCAATCACAGAAGTGACCTGCGCTGCTCTGAAACTTTATCACCCACTGACAGGCCGGATTGTGGTGGAAAACACAATGCAGATCCATCACATGGAGCCTAGATCCTCTGCTGAAATGAGGCTGTTCTTCATCTGGGCACGCGTTCCAAGCGATGTTCACACCATCCCATCCTCCTCTTCACCTTCAGTGGGCTGCTGTCGATCTGCCCAGCCACACTCCACCAATGCTAAAGCCTGTGTGCAGAAGGAGAGAGATGGTGTCCAAGCGTCCGTTCGTCCATCCAGAGCAGGAATCCTTGACTCTGACCGTGGTTTACGAGCTCCTGGACCAGCAGCAGTTCTTCTACACTGAGCTGATGGAGCAGCAGGAGAGGAACTACAGGTCTTTCCTGCAGATGATGGTAGACTGCACCACCAGTCGGGTGGACAGGGTGGTGAAGGAGCTGCAGGACGTCAAGCTCGGCCTGCAAGAGGTCCGGAAGACGGCCGCGCAGAACGCCAAACGGGCCGACAATCTGGCCGAAGGTTTGGTGATGATCAGAGGAGCTCTGGATGCTCTGACCTCCAAAAACCCCAACATGGCGGAGGTGAAGCCCAGGAAGGCGGCCGGGAAGGTGGACGGCAGAGCGGAGATGAAGATGTCGGAGACGTGGCAGCACGAACCGAAGGCTAAGAGGCTGGTGGCTGACCTGACGGACATCCAACTGGACGATATAAAGGTGGAGAGAGAGAGAGAGAGAGAGAGAGAGAGAGAGAGAGAAAGTATCTTTGAGTTACTTAGTGATGAATGGACTAATAGAGATTTTGAAAAGCAAACCGTTCAAGTTTTTTTCAGATTTACTTTAAAGTGCTTATATTCAACATTTTTCTCATTACGTTTGTGTTTTTTGTGGTACCAAAAACATTTTCCAGCCTCTCTTTATCCTTTACAGTCAAATGGGCTGTTTTTGTTATTGTGTCTTTAAGACCGATATATGTCAACGAGCTCTGTTTTGATTGGCTGCTCTGTATTGTGCCTCTGGAACACTGAAAAATTCCCTCAAACTTCAGACTGAATGGGTGGGGCTAAACTGCTGTAGTGTAAAGGCAATTTAAATGTGTTGCTTTTTGTGACATCACAAAAACCTAAACCTTTCCTTGAATGGTGAATATCCTCTGAGGAGTGAACAGTACAGTTTGTTTGATTTTTACATCCAATATTAAATTGTTTAATTTATAATAGTGAAGAAAATTGTTAATCCTTTAACAGGTTTGGAAATTTGGAGATTTTTTATGTCTTTATGATGATGATGATGATGATGAAGCTGAGATGGAGAGAGATGTTGTTCAGTGTGTGTGTGTGAGCGTGTGTGAGTGTGTGTGTAAGTGTGTATGAGTGTGTGTGAGTGAGTGTGTTCTGCCGTCTCCGTGACGGAGTGTTTACCGTGTAGATCATGTCAGACAGTGGAGAGTCAGTTAACTGTGCTGGGTGTCAAGTTTTCCAACGCTATTCAGTGTCTATGGAAAAGGGGAATGTGGGAATGTGGGAATGTGGGAATACAAACACTTTTCCACACACTTTAAGGAGTTAATCTGAGGAAGTCGTGATTACATGCAGAAGCAGAGAAACTCTGTTACTGTCATTCTGTCAGTGAGAATCTGGTTGTTTTTGGGAGATTTTCGTGATTCTATTTTATTCCTGTATTTTTACTGAACGTTAGAGATCAAACAGAGAGCAGAGCTGCTCAGAGTGTAACTGACCGCACTGTTATCTGCTTTATTATCGCTTCATTAAGACAGAGCAGTGAGGGAGAGGGCAGAAGTTTGGCTTTGACCTCCTGACTGACCAGAGCTGGACTTTACTCTCAGATTAGCTGAAGGTACGATGGAGCGATAATAACTGAAATTTCATGTCAGACCAATTCTTTCTTTTTCTCTTTCTTTCTTTCTTTCTTTCTTTCTTTCTTTCTCTCTGTCTGTCTGTCTTCTGCCTCTTCTCTGCCTCCTCCTAACAGGCTGATCAACTCACAGAAGAGCAGATTGCTGGTAAGGAGCTCAGTGAGTGTGTGTATAAGTGTGTGAGTATGAGTGAGGGAGTGTGTGTGTTAGTGTGTGTGTTAGTGTTAGTGAGTGTGTGTGTGTGTGTTAGTGTGAGTGAGTGTGTGTGTTAGTGTGTGTAAGTGTTAGGGAGTGTGTGTGTTAGTGTGTGTTAGTGTTAGTGAGTGTGTGTGTTAGTGTGTGTAAGTGTTAGGGAGTGTGTGTGTTAGTGTGTGTAAGTGTTAGGGAGTGTGTGTGTTAGTGTGTGTGTTAGTGTGAGTGAGTGTGTGTGTTAGTGTGTGTAAGTGTTAGGGAGTGTGTGTGTTAGTGTGTGTAAGTGTTAGGGAGTGTGTGTGTTAGTGTGTGTGTTAGTGTTAGTGAGTGTGTGTGTGTGTGTTAGTGTGTGTTAGTGTGAGTGAGTGAGTGTGTGTGTTAGTGTGTGTAAGTGTTAGGGAGTGTGTGTGTTAGTGTGTGTGTTAGTGTTAGTGAGTGTGTGTGTGTGTGTTAGTGTGAGTGAGTGTGTGTGTGTGTTAGTGTGAGTATGAGTGAGGGAGTGTGTGTGTTAGTGTGAGTGAGTGTGTGTGTTAGTGTGTGTAAGTGTTAGGGAGTGTGTGTGTTAGTGTGTGTAAGTGTTAGGGAGTGTGTGTGTTAGTGTGTGTGTTAGTGTTAGTGAGTGTGTGTGTGTGTTAGTGTGTGTTAGTGTGAGTGAGTGTGTGTGTGTGTTAGTGTGTGTAAGTGTTAGGGAGTGTGTGTGTTAGTGTGAGTGTTTTAGTGTTTGTGTGTGTGTGTGTGTGTTAGTGTTAGTGAGTGTGTTAGTGTGCATGTTAGTGTGTGTGTGTGTTAGTGTGTGTGTTAGTGTGAGTGTGTTAGTGTGTATGTGTGTGTGTGTTTGTGTGTGTGTGTGTTAGTGTTTGTGTGTTAGTGTGTGTTAATGTGTGTGTGTTAGTGTGTGTTAGTGTTAGTGTGTGTGTGTGTTAGTGTTTGTGTGTTAGTGTGTGTTAATGTGTGTGTGTTAGTGTGTGTTAGTGTTAGTGTGTGTGTGTGTGTGTTAGTGTTTGTGTGTTAGTGTGTGTTAATGTGTGTGTGTTAGTGTGTGTTAGTGTTAGTGTTAATGTTTGTGTTAGTGTGTGTGTGTGTGTGTTAATGTTTGTGTGTTAGTGTGTGTTAGTGTGTGTTAGTGTTTGTGTTAGTGTGTGTGTGTGTGTGTGTGTGTTAATGTTTGTGTGTTAGTGTGTGTTAATGTGTGTGTGTTAGTGTGTGTTAGTGTTAGTGTGTGTTAGTGTGTGTGTGTGTGTTAGTGTTTGTGTTAGTGTGTGTGTGTGTGTGTGTTAATGTTTGTGTGTTAGTGTGTGTTAATGTGTGTGTGTTAGTGTGTGTTAGTGTTAGTGTTAGTGTGTGTGTGTGTGTTAGTGTGTTAGTGTTTGTGTGTTAGTGTGTGTTAATGTGTGTGTGTTAGTGTGTGTTAGTGTTAGTGTGTGTGTGTTAGTGTGTGTGTTAGTGTGAGTGTGTTAGTGTGAGTGTGTTAGTGTGAGTGTGTTAGTGTGTGTGTGTGTGTTTGTGTCTGTGTTAATGTGAGTGTGTTAGTGTTTGTGTGTAGGTTAGTGTGTGTGTTAGTGTTAGTGAGTGTGTGTGTGTGTGTTAGTGTGTTAGTGTTTGTGTGTAGGTTAGTGTGTGTGTTAGTGTGAGTGTGTTAGTGAGTGTGTTAGTGTGTGTGTGTTTGTGTTAGTGAGTGTTTGTGTTTGTGTGTATGTTAGTGTGTGTTAGTGTTAGTGATTGTGTTAGTGTGTGTGTGTGTTAGTGAGTGTGTTAGTGTGTGTGTGTTAGTGTGTGTTAATGTGTGTGTGTTAGTGTTAGTGAGTGTGTTAGTGTGTGTGTGTTAGTGTGTGTGTGTGTGTGTTAGTGTTAGTGAGTGTGTTAGTGTGTGTTAGTGTGTGTGTGTTAGTGTTAGTGAGTGTGTTAGTGTGTGTGTGTGTTAGTGTTAGTGAGTGTGTTAGTGTGTGTGTGTGTTAGTGTTAGTGTGTGTGTGTTAGTGAGTGTGTTAGTGTGTCTGTGTGTGTGTTAGTGTTAGTGTGTGTGTGTGTGTTAGTGTGTGTGTGTTAGTGTGTGTGTGTTAGTGAGTGTGTTAGTGTGTCTGTGTGTGTGTTAGTGTTAGTGTGTGTGTGTGTTAGTGTGTTAGTGTTTGTGTGTTAGTGTGTGTGTTAGTGTTAGTGAGTGTGTGTTAGTGTTAGTGAGTGTGTTAGTGTGTGTGTGTGTGTGTGTTAGTGTTAGTGTGTGTGTGTGTTAGTGTGTGTGTGTTAGTGTGTGTGTGTTAGTGAGTGTGTTAGTGTGTGTGTGTGTGTGTTAGTGTGTGTGTTAGTGAGTGTGTTAGTGTGTGTGTGTTAGTGTTAGTGTGTGTGTGTTAGTGTTAGTGAGTGTGTTAGTGTGTGTGTGTGTTAGTGTGTGTGTGTTAGTGAGTGTGTTTGTGTGTTAGTGTGTGTGTGTGTGTGTTAGTGTGTGTGTGTTAGTGTGTGTTAGTGTTAGTGTGTTAGTGTGTGTTAATGTGTGTGTGTTAGTGTGTGTGTGTTAGTGTTTGTGTGTGTGTGTTAGTGTGTTAGTGTTTGTGTGTTAGTGTGTGTTAGTGTGTGTGTTAGTGTTAGTGAGTGTGTTAGTGTGTGTGTGTTAGTGTTAGTGTGTGTGTGTTAGTGTTAGTGAGTGTGTTAGTGTGTTAGCGTGTGTGTTAGTGTTAGTGAGTGTGTTAGTGTGTGTGTGTTAGTGTTTGTGTGTGTGTGTGTGTTAATGTTTGTGTGTTAGTGTGTGTTAATGTGTGTGTGTTAGTGTGTGTTAGTGTTAGTGTGTGTGTGTGTTAGTGTGTTAGTGTTTGTGTGTTAGTGTGTGTTAGTGTGTGTTAATGTGTGTGTGTTAGTGTGTGTTAGTGTTAGTGTGTGTTAGTGTGTGTGTATGTTAGTGTGTGTGTGTGTGTTAGTGTGTGTGTTAGTGTGTGTGTGTTAGTGTGTGTGTGTGTGTGTTTGTGTGTGTGTTAATGTGAGTGTGTTAATGTGAGTGTGTTAGTGTTTGTGTGTAGGTTAGTGTGTGTGTTAGTGTTAGTGAGTGTGTGTGTGTTAGTGTTTGTGTGTAGGTTAGTGTGTGTGTTAGTGTGAGTGTGTTAGTGAGTGTGTTAGTGTGTGTGTGTTTGTGTTAGTGAGTGTTTGTGTTTGTGTGTATGTTAGTGTGTGTTAGTGTTAGTGATTGTGTTAGTGTGTGTGTGTGTTAGTGTTAGTGAGTGTGTTAGTGTGTGTGTGTTAGTGTGTGTTAATGTGTGTGTGTTAGTGAGTGTGTTAGTGTGTGTGTGTTAGTGTGTGTGTTAGTGTTAGTGAGTGTGTTAGTGTGTGTGTGTGTTAGTGTTAGTGAGTGTGTTAGTGTGTGTGTGTGTGTTAGTGTTAGTGAGTGTGTTTGTGTGTGTGTGTGTTAGTGTGTGTGTGTGTGTGTTAGTGTGTGTGTTAGTGAGTGTGTTAGTGTGTGTGTTAGTGTGTGTGTGTTAGTGAGTGTGTTAGTGTGTGTGTTAGTGTGTGTGTTAGTGTTAGTGTGTGTGTGTGTGTTAGTGTTAGTGTGTGTGTGTTAGTGTTAGTGAGTGTGTTAGTGTGTGTGTGTTAGTGTGTGTGTGTGTTAGTGTGTGTGTGTGTGTTAGTGTGTGTGTGTTAGTGTTAGTGAGTGTGTTAGTGTGTTAGCGTGTGTGTTAGTGAGTGTGTTAGTGTGTGTGTTAGTGTGTGTGTGTTAGTGTTAGTGAGTGTGTTAGTGTGTGTGTGTGTTAGTGTGTGTGTGTTAGTGTGTGAGTGTGTGTGTGTTAGTGTGTGTTAGTGTTAGTGAGTGTGTTAGTTTCTGTGTGTGTGTGTGTTAGTGTATGTGTGTGTGTTAGTGTGTGTTAGTGTGTGAGTGTTAGTGTTAGTGAGTGTGTTAGTGTGTGTTAGTGTGTGAGTGTTAGTGTGTGTTAGTGTTAGTGAGTGTGTTAGTGTGTGTGTGTGTTAGTGTTAGTGAGTGTGTTAGTGTGTGTTAGTGTGTGAGTGTTAGTGTGTGTTAGTGTTAGTGAGTGTGTTAGTGTTAGTGAGTGTGTCAGTGTGTGTGTGTTAGTGAGTGTGTTAGTGTTAGTGTGTGTGTGTGTTAGTGTGTGAGTGTTAGTGTGTGTGTGTTAGTGAGTGTGTTAGTTTCTGTGTGTGTTAGTGTGTGTTAGTGTTAGTGAGTGTGTTAGTGTGTGTGTGTGTGTGTGTGTGTGTGTGTGTGTGATGATATCTGAACTGTCTGTAGTTGCTGAGAACAGAAACTGATACTGAACTCTAAACTCTAATAATTTGTTTTTGCATATTCGTAATGTTTTTCATGCCGTTATGTTTTTCATGCATGTTTCTGTTTGTTCTCCAGAGTTTAAGGAGGCGTTCTCGTTGTTCGATAAAGACGGCGATGGCACCATCACCACTAAAGAGCTGGGCACGGTGATGAGGTCACTAGGACAGAACCCCACGGAGGCGGAGCTTCAGGACATGATTAACGAGGTGGACGCAGACGGTGAGATTTAATGGGGAAACATTTTACTCCAAACAGGAAGCTGCACAGGAAACAGATTAGAAGATGAAACAGTTTAATTTGAGCTCGTTCTGAGCAGCGTTTCTCCTCTCAGCTGTAACCAGTCAGAACGAGATAAGAGTAGTTCAGGACTGATAATAAACCGCAGTGTAAATCAGTAAGTCAGTCATTAGTAAATTACTGCAGAGTAAGTTATCAGTAATTATGGGTAATAATAAAATTACTATTACAGGTTTGGTTGTAAAGTCTGATCTGAAAGTTCAGTGGAGATCATCACAAAACGCACATCACAAAATCCGTTTGACTTCTGTGTCCAGCTTTTGGTTTGATAAATTTGTCTAACTGAACCAGTGAAAACGCAGCACTGTTTCACTTCCTGTCTAGTTCGAGACGAGAAGAACTGAACTGCAGAACTCACTCTCAGGGTTTAAGGGGCTAACCAGCCACCTGACACAGCTGGATGTGATTTTGTTCCTGTTTTGATTGTGCTCGTGTAAAATGTTCTGAGTAAAAGGTTCTGAGTAAAAGGTTCTGTGTAAAAGGTTCTGTGTAAAAGGTTCTGAGTAAAAGGTTCTGTGTAAAAGGTTCTGTGTAAAAGGTTCTGAGTAAAAGGTTCTGTGTGAATTGTTGCTTTAACAGTTTTCGTTTACGTTTTATTCCCTGGGACGTTTTCCAGTGACAGAGCCAAGAATCACGTCTTTATGGCTTCTGTGTTAAAGTATAAGCAGAATTGTAAGACGGTCTGTGTGCAGGCAATAGATGGTCTGTGTGCAGTCATTAGGCGGTCTGTGTGCAGTCATTAGGTGGTCTGTGTGCAGTCAGTAGATGGTCTGTGTGCAGGCAGTAGATGGTCTGTGTGCAGTCAGTAGATGGTCTGTGTGCAGTCATTAGGCGGTCTGTGTGCAGTCAGTAGATGGTCTGTGTGCAGTCATTAGGCGGTCTGTGTGCAGTCAGTAGATGGTCTGTGTGCAGGCAGTAGACGCACACACTTTTCACACTTACTTTTTCACGTCTTCTGAGAAAGTAAATGTTTTCTTGCACTTTTCTCCTCTTCAGGTAATGGAACCATCGACTTCCCCGAATTTCTGACCATGATGGCCAGGAAAATGAAGGACACAGACAGTGAGGAGGAAATCCGCGAAGCTTTCCGAGTGTTCGACAAGGTGACAGCAGTGTGTGCGCTGTGTGCTGTGCGACTGTAAAAGTTAAAAATATTCATAATATAAATAAATTAGCAGATGAAACATAATTAGTAGGTTCTATAATGTTCATATGATACACAGTCATTCTATTGAACATCCTTCAGTGTTTGTGTTTGTTTTTGTTCTTCGTTCTCTCTTGTGTTCTCTGTTAGGATGGGAACGGTTACATCAGTGCAGCAGAGCTTCGCCACGTCATGACGAACCTGGGCGAGAAGCTCACGGACGAGGAAGTGGACGAGATGATCAGGGAAGCCGACGTCGATGGAGACGGACAGGTCAACTATGAAGGTGAGAGGTGGACATCTGGCCATAGACTGACCTCCATGGCGTGATGTTCTCCATCATCTGCCACATCGGAGCTTCATGATGAACCAAGAGAAGTACAGTTTGTGTAAGAAGGAGAACTTTGTGAAAATGAGCCTGATTTGGTTCCTCAGCGTCTCTCACAGCTCCTTCAGTGCAGATTTGAGCAAAGCAACTCTACACGCCTGCATTATAGCTTTGTGGCTAACAGTTAGCTAGCTAACTAACATTAGCTATCAATCAGTCAATCAATTAATCAATGAATCAACCTTTATCTCGACTTGGAAGTACATTGACAGTGACCCTCGTTTACAGCACAGCCAAGCAAATTAAACAGGGATTGAGTTAAAATTAAATTTATTCCATTAAAACAAATAAAGACGAAGACTAAATGAACAAATTAATTAGTTAACTAATAAAAGCTCAAATTAAAAATAAAGATAAAACAGCAGTAAAATGTGTAATGAAAACAAATCAAAAGTAAAAAACCTAATAAAAGAAAAACTAAAAAATCTTTTCAAATTAAATTATTCAATAAAATAATAAAAAAAATAAAAATAAAAGAACATCCAATAAAACATCAGCTAACGGTGATGTAGCATTAGCGAACTAGCTCATCATCGTTATTTATTTATTTTAATGACGAATCTTTGACTTATTTTATAATAAACTATAATAATCTAAAAGTAACGACAGATAATGTTAACCTTCACTTTCTTAAAGACGGTTCTTCAAGGGTTCTTTACTAAAAACAATGTTTCTATATAGAACAATGGACAAAGACCCCTTTGCATGCTTGAATGGTTCTCTGCATGGTGAAATGGTTCTTCAGATTGATGAATGTGTTGTATATGGTTCTATAAAGCACCAGAAAGGGTTCTGCTGTTGTATACAAGCGTGACATCACAACAACAGCAACAGCTACATAGAACTCATTTCAACACATTCTCCATCAGTCTGAAGAACCATTTCATCATGCAAAGAACCACTGAAGCATGCAAATCGTTCTATGTAGAACTTATGATTCTATATAGAACCATTCCCTTTACTAAAGAACCCCTGAAGAACCATCTTTTTTAAGAAAGTAACTAATTATCAAACACAAAAAACATAGTAAGATCATTTATGTTCATCTTAACGTGGCTAATTAAGATCATCTTTATTGCTGGATGTAAAGTTTTTCAGTATAAAATCATTCACGATATACAAACTGCAGTTTTGCAGGAAAGCTCCACTGGAAGCTGTTCTAAGGAGCGCCCTCTAGTGCCAAAACAGCCCAGGGGCATGTTCAGTCTCAGAATGCTGTGCACCACTTTGCTGCGGTTTCTGGGTTGAACATGTTTTGTCGAAACTGTGTGAAACTGTGCAGCTTTGAGGTGTGTTTTTTCTCGTTTGGTGGGCGTGTCAGAGGTGTTAGCCAATCAGCAGCAACGTGTATATAAACCCTGCCGCATTAAAAATTCAGGGCACAATAGATTCTAATGAAGTCTGTACACCTGCGGCTGCTGCAGTTTGATGTATGCAGCTACTGAAGATGTGAGACGACGTGTTTTAGTGCTGAATATTAAAACCCGTTTCATCGCTACAGCGCTTGTGTAACTCAGCAGAGTTCAACGCACCACCGTTTCTGTTCAAATAAACATTTCGCTACGTTTTGTCGGGGCTGAATGCAGCCTAGTTTTGTAGGAAACTGTTCTCTGCAGCGCCCTCTAGTGTCCGCACAGCCCACAAGACATTACAGGGACTCTCAGTGGAAATTCTCTGATCGCTGTTCACTCTTTAGTCTCTCACGTCTCACTTTCTGCTTCTCTCCACAGAGTTTGTACAAATGATGACGGCAAAATGAAGAGCTGCTGTTCTCCCGACATCCTTAGACAAAAAATTAATCAATCAAATGTTTTACTAACTTCCTCCTGCAAAAAATGTAATAATCATTTATTCATACAGTCGTTTCTACACAGAAAAACTGTTCATATAAAGGAAAAACCTGGTGTGAATGTTCTGGTTCTCTTCCCAAAGATCGAGCTTAGACGTCTTAAAACTCCAAACCGAAAGCTCTTCTCATCTGAGCTGCTCTTCTCCTTCCATCCGTCGCTGTTTGTGGAGGGCAGATCTGTTCTGGGTTTTTTTTTGTAATTAATTTTAATAGAGGGTTACAGTGAGATTGCACATGGTGGTGGGGCGTTGGGGAGGTGGACTAACGAGCAGGACCTTCACAGTTTGATTAAATAGATATTTTTAAGAAAAATTAGGATTTAACAGATTTTAAATGGTTTACAATGTTTGGATTTGTGGAGTTTTGTTTGGGAGGAGGGGTTTGGTCGAATGGGGCGGGGCCAGGGCGGAGCTTCAGATTGTGACAGAAGTTTCTTTCTTTCTTCTGTTTTCTCTCTGAAAAGTCCCGAAGGTTCGTCCAGTGTTCTCTTTCGGACTTTGTCGCTCAGACAGGAAACAGAAAAGAACCTTCTGGACTTTTCAGTTTCTGTTTACATCCTTTCCAAGTTGTACCTGCTAGTCTTTTCACTTTTTTCCAATAAAAGATCATGAACTCGATCAGCCGTCCAGCTCTGTTCTTTTTACTGTGAGTCAGTTCATCAGTTTCAGATCTGCAGACTTACAGTAGATCGCCATGGCAACCGCTCGCTATTTCTTCCGTACGTGTGAGTCACCTGGACAGGCGGCGGTGAATATGTCCGGTTAGTGAGGACACGTCTTCTCCAGGGTGTGTTCTTCAGTGGGTTGCCTGGCAACTCGTATCTGTGGTGGCCGTGGAGACGATCTGAGGAGGCATGCAGGCTGTAGAGAGGAATCTGGGCCTCCATCCTCCGTCACTTCACTACGCAACTCCATCAGCACACCTGCTTCAGTGTTCCCTCAAAGCCCTGCCCCAAATACAGATCCTCCATTCAGTTGAAACACTGAGGCTCCAGAATGATGAGCAGAACCAGAGCAGAACCAGAGTAGAACCAGAACAGAACAGGAGCAGAACCAGCACCGCAGACATGATAATGAATAAACTGGAACGTCACTCACTGATAATCCTGAGCAGAAGTGAAACTATTATAATTTAACCTGCAGTAACCCGAAGCTCCGCCCATCCCGCACCTGCTCTGACATCACCTGTCTGTACGGCGGGTCAGCGGGAGGTCACGACCCCAATCTCCTGCTGACAGACCAGCGGTCGGCTCTCAACACTCATTAATACATAAAGAGAACCAGCTCACTGCACAGCAGCTCTGTATTCAGCTCCACTGTTAAAATACAAAATAAAAGCCCTCATTTCCTGCACAGCGCATTAGTCTCTGTACTGAGTCAACAAGTTAAAAATGTACTTATTTAAAAAGAGTTTGACTTTCAGCTCATACTGAATAAATACTGACTAGAGATCTTTAAAGGGCTGCATTTCTAAGCTTTATAATATAACATAACATAATATAATATAATATAATATAATGTAATATATAATATAATAGTGCTTAGATCTCCAGGACAGACACTACAGAACATGAGTGAAGTGCTTTTACACTCAGACATAAAACCATCAGTAACTGTAATGCTGAACAAGTTTAAACACAAACGCTCCAAAACCAAAGATCATAGATAAAATAACTGTGCAGAAAAAAAATGTTCCAAATGTATCTATCAAATATATTTTTGTAATGTATGAAAATGGCAAAAAATGTATTTGTTAAAATGCATTTATCAGTATTAGTTATTATCTGTGTTCAGTTGAGTGTAATGAAGGTTCCAGATGTAACTAAACGTTCTTCTGTGATCTGCACTGTACTTTACATTAACCATGTACGTCTGCAGTCAGACTCTCACACACAATGTATTTCACATAAACAAGATATCAGATCATAACTGCATTTTCACAGAGTATCAGTACTACAACACTCGCTTCTGTCCTGATAAACGATCATTTAATCAGATTTAAAATGAAGATACTGGAACACAAACTCATCTCTAAAGGTATCAGACAGTGAAGAGCATCAGACAGGATTCTGGATATTTTCACACATTTTCAGATGGATATGATAAACATTTACACAGTTATTTTTGTCTATGTAATATTTCCACATACAGTAAAAAATATATTTGGTTAATATGGCAAAAAATTCTGAAATACATTTTAGAGTTTGAAATGTATTATACAGATATATACAGATATATAAAAATGGACGTCCGTATATTTTTTTTTTTCCATATGAGCATGTTTGGCACTTCAGAGACTAACATACACAATTAAAAAGGAAATAATATTAGTCACTCTATCAGACACTCCTACCTTGTCAGTCCACCTTGTAGATGTAAAGTCAGAGACGATAGCTCATCTGCTGCTGCACAGTTTGTATTGGTCATCCTCTAGTCCTTCATCAGTGGTCACAGGACGCTGTTGGCTGGATATTTTTGGTTGGTGGACTATTCTCAGTCCAGCAGTGACACTGAGGCATTTAAAAACTCCAGCAGCACTGCTGTGTCTGATCCACTCAGACCAGCGCAACACACACCAACACACCACCACCACGTCAGTGTTACTGCAGTGCTGAGAATGATCCACCACCCAAATAGTACCTGCTCTGTGAGGGTCCATGGGGGTCCTGACCACTGAAGAACAGGGTAAAAGGGGGCTAACAAAGTATCAGAGAAACAGATGGACTACAGTCTGTAACTGTAGAGTCAGTGGAGCTAATAAAGTGGACAGTGAGTGTAGAAATGAGGAGGTGGACTTGATGTTATGGTGCATCTCTTCATTTCAGCTCTTTATTATTCTTTGTTCTTTATTCTCTTCATTGTTGCTGTATTTGTCTCTTAGTTTAATCCTTGTTATCAGTCTGTTTGTCTGGTCTGTTCAGTGTGATAGTGCCACACCTGTGTGACTCACCAAGCCTGATTCCTGTATCTGTAACTCTGCCTTCACACCGGCAGCGACTTTTCACCTCGTCGCCCAAATCGATGGTCACACATCACCTGTGGGCATTTCTGAACTGGACCGTTGTTCGCCATGTTTTTTCACCCATGCGAAGCACAAACCAGATGTGTTCCCGCTAAGAATAAAACTGGAGAACCCGCTTTATTCAATCCCTACGTAGAGCATCACTGTGTGTGCAGTCAGCATGTGAAGAAAACAGTGTGCGGTTTGTGCGACTGCATCTATGTGCAGCTGACATTCCTCCATCTCTAGTAGGGACAGTTATGTAGGAACCAAAAAGGGGCGCACCGTTTCACAGTGGCGGAGATTAAGTGCGCACTACTCTATTCCCACTGGTATTGGCCACATCGCTTCACTCCTAATTTGCATAAAGGTGCATTCCAGTCGCCCTCGTAGTTCCCTGCAAACTGTACTGCAGCAGGTGGGAGCAGTACACTTTTATCCCGATTTTAGCCCTGATTCTCAGTCCGAGTCTGAGCTGGTCAGATTTTTGGGTCGACAGTTGGATAGAGAGTCGAGTCGTGTGTGGCACAATCGAGTTTGAGTACATTTAAGACTAAGAAATACCAACATTTTTAAATCCATGATCCTCATTTAAATATATTTACCTGCTGCTTCTTTACTGTTTCAGTGCAAACGGCAGAGAAACCTGTTTAAAGCTCGAAGGTTGAGTAGTGTGGATCCCCAATATTTCAGTCGCCCAAAAAGATCTGCAAAAACCAGTCTGCTGGTGCGAGACGCCCAGGCTGTTATAATCTGTGAGGACTTTAAAAGTCGTGTAGTGAATCCGAGGCTTTAGGAACTCAACTTTCTCTGCTCACTGTGCGTCACCAACATTCACGCTGCCTCCTGTCAAGTCGAGCCACAGTTTATTTATGTGGCACTTTTTACAAGAGGTGTCGTCACTACACAGCTTTACACGAAGCCCCCATGAGAGTCGCCAATGGCAACGGTGGCAAGGAAAAACTCCCTGAGAGGAACCAAGACTCAAAAGGGGAACCCATCCTCCTCTGGTCGACACCGGATAGCAAACAGTAACACGAGCAAAATGAACAGAGAATAATGTTTTACCATGAACTATTCACCGTTAGCTGCTGCCGGAAACCTGCAGCTCTCACTGAAAACGAATGAATTCCAGCCGCTCTGTCGCGCCGCGTCGCCGCCGGTGTGAATGCAGTGGCGTATTTGGTGAAATGAAGTGATTCTCATTCTGAGCACAAAACAAACCACAGTTTTCAAATTAAATCATTTTTATTGACATCTTATCAGGTTTCCTCCAGCTGAGCGGTGAGGATTTGAGTGCATTCTTTCCTCCGTCTCAGCACACCTGAGATTAGCTAGAACGCAGAACGGCGGATGATGTAGGAGGAACCGCAGCGGCGTCTTCTTTCAGGTGTAAAAACAGCACGACTGCATTCTTACAGTAACGCGTACAGAACAGTGTTGATGATTACAGAAACATCTGGACTTCAGCAAACAAACCACGGCTGTCAGACTCCGCCCGCTCGGAGAAATAAATAAACAAAACAGGCTATCAAATTAACCGTAAACAACAACAATAATAATAAAATCTCTCTGAATGGGATAAAAAATCTATTTATCTTAACCAAAAAAAAAGGTAAAATAGAATCATTTTTGGCATCACTTCATTATAATCAATATTTCCATAATGATTTTTGTGTTTACATACATTATTACAATGACACAGGGAAAGGGGGCGGGTTCACTGCATTCGGGGCGGAGTCACATGTTTGGTGATGTAACAGCAGGTTGTGTAACAGTAATCCACAGACAGGAGCAGTGCAGTACTCTTCATACAGAGTGGGCGGAGCTTGTGGATATATATATATGCATATTTACATCTGGTTCTGTTTATATAGTGTTGCTCAGTTTTAAAGCGGTAGTTTGTTGAAAAAACAAATTCACACAGTTTATTCTCGATCCCAAATGTAGTCAGTTGGCCAAGATGCAATTGGAGTTCGGACAAAAGTTCAGCCGAAATTCAGGCTTAAAGACGGACGCTAACGCTGCGGTCAGCTGTTAGGGCTGTACGATAAATAAATCAGATTATTATTATTATTATTATCGACTTTTAAGTGTGGCAGTAACAGCTATTTAATAACTAAACATAAATAAAAACGATTTTATAACCAGAAATATGTATTTGTTCTTGTATGACTTTATAAAAAATACATATATATTTAGCCACAGTTCTGATGTAAACACCTGTATTTTATATTTTATTTTGCATAATAATTAACGGTGCTTTTATAATTTTGTATTTTACTGTTTGTTTCAAGGAGAGGTTAATTAGATTTCTGTTAACACATCCAAAAAAGTCCGATCCAATCAGAGGATAATCATGATAATCAACTGTCGGTTTTCATATCGTCATTGTGATATCAGACTGATTTTTACCGTACAGCCCTGTTAGCTATGCTAAATTAGTCCATGTTTATAGATAACAATGTGTCAGAGATTACTGACCAACTCCACATGCTTTGAGATTTGAATTATCCGTTCCACCTTAAATGATGCAGCAGTTGCATTGTGGCACCTGTAACTGCTGCACCATTTAAGGTGGAACGGATAATTCAAATAAGCAGAAGGTGGACAGAAAGACGTTTGAGGCGAGTGATGATTTAGGCGTGCGGTTAGCATCATGCTAACTGGTGGGATGTAGGCTTCCTTTACCAGTTAACAACCTTAGCGTCGGTGCTAACGCTGCCTGATCAACTGTGTTTGGGATGAGGAAGGAAAGCTGTGCCGATCTGCCGTTCGGCTGAGCCGCTGCTCTGAGTGGGCGGGCGAGTCTCAGAGGGTGCGGGGGATGACGGTGAAGGGCAGCACGGGGCTGCTGGCCTCCAGCTCCAGCGCGGTGAGGAAGCACTCAGTGGCGGCAGCGTGGTTCCCCTGCGCCTGCAGAACCTCCCCTAGACTGTTCCACACAGAGTGCGCCGTGGAGCTCACCTGCACCGCATCTCGCAGAACCTTCTCAGCAAGACTGTATCTCTGCAGCTGGTGCAGAATCAGACCCTGAGAGAGAGAGAGAGAGAGAGAGAGAGAGAGAGAGAGAGAGAGAGAGAGAGAGAGAGAGAAAGAGAGAGAGTAGGCTGAATGGGTGGAGCTAAACTGCTGTAGGCTGAATGGGTGGAGCTAAACTGCTGCACACGGCTCACAGCTCCGCTCCTCTAGTTTAACATGATAACTGTGGCCCTATTTTTGCCTGAAACGGTGAACCCAAAGTAAAGGGGGCGCTGTTCACGCATACTTTGGACTACAGTCATGATCTCTGTCTCATTTGAAAGGTGACACTTTTGCCATCAGAATAATTGTACGAAGTAATAAACTACATGAATTCAGCCCGATTTTGACGTGATTTTCCAGTGTCCGGCCCGAATACGAGCCTCGGGAACGATGAATGGGTCTTGTAGTGTGACATAATCAGAGAACAGTGATGTGGTGTCTGTGACTCTCCATGAAACCCTGACAAAAAGTCCAGTGTGTCAGCATTATTTAAATTTTCCAGCCTAGTCGGACGTTTCCTACGACGTGGCTTTGACATTAACCAACAGGATGACGCAGCGCTCTCTGGAGGACGTCTGTAAACACGCTGAAGAGACAGAGCGACGCTGCTGCTGCAGATTTAAGATGGAACAACGAAACACAGGAAAGGTTCTCTGAGCTGTGGCAGCAGAACCCCCACATTTCTGGTGTTACCTTGAGGGAGAACCATGCAAAGAGTCCAAAGAGATAAATGTTGGAGACAAACATTTAATGACTGTTTACACACACAGAGAACCTGGTATCTACATTTATGTACTGCTCTCGATATACTGACATGTTAATGAGCTCAGGTTCTCTCTGAAGGACAGACGGCCCACACTGTCCTCTTCTTTCACAACACCAAACCTCCAGCATCATACTCAGAGCTTTTGATTGACAGTTTCTTGACACACCTCCACAATGATGTATGAACCTCGCCTAAGAACGTGAATGATGATTGGTCGGCATCAAATTTCTAGTGTTGCCAAATTTACGGCACTATGATCGCCCAGTCTGACACAGTGACCATTGTGAAAGACAAACATTGTGTAGTCTGATCCCAACATCAACCGATCTCTTACTCTTGTTGTGTTATCAGACCTCATGTTTTGGGCGATGGTGTCTCTGTGGAGGGGGAGAGGCTCTGAAGGTGAGGACACACAGATCTGCTGCCGTTTGCTCATTTGGTGCTGATGCTGCAGATGAGACGATCGTATCTGCTGGGAGTGACGGATCATAAAGCGGTTTGTGGGAATCGAACCGTGAGATTTCAAGCTTTCTAACGGTGTATTACATCACTGTGCTGCGGAAGTGTGCAGGTACCGGTACAGTGATCTAGAACAGGGTAACGTGGAATTTAAAGTGTTCTGATATCTCAGAGTTACATTTAAGAGATATTTCAGCTACATTAAGGCTAAACAGCGCAGACTGAACCTGCTCTGGTCCTCATGAGGTTTAAGAGCTGAAAGGTCTGAGCGGTCTGTGTCTGTGTGTCTGTGTGTGTGTGTGTGTCTGTGTGTGTGTGTGTCTGTGTGTGTCTGTGTCTGTGTGTGTGTGTGTGTCTCACCATTCTCTGCATGCTCTTGACGTGGGTGGGGCTGATGGACAGCGCCTCCTCGTACCAGCGCTTGGCCTCCTCAGTGTTTCCCCGCAGCTCGGCCACCTGCCCCTTCATAAACAGCACGTTATGGGACAGTGGGAACAAACTCGCAGCCTCCTGAGTGCAGGCCAGCGCCTCGGCCGGCTTCAGCATCCCGATATACACCTCCGCTAACCAGGGGAGAGAGAGAGAGAGAGAGAGAGAGAGAGAGAGAGAGAGAGAGAGAGAGAGAGAGAGATATTTAAATCATGATACTGATATTTCTGAACTCGGTGTAAATGTGGTGTAAATGCTGCGCCTGAAATGCGTTAGGAAGTCGTGCTGGACGAGTCAAGGGTGTTTTGTGATCAGAAGCAGCTCTACGCTGCCCCCTGGTCTAGGATAGAGATCAGACACAGCTCTACGCTGCCCCCTGGTCTAGGATAGAGATCAGACACAGCTCTACGCTGCCCCCTGGTCTACGACAGAGAACAGACGCAGCTCTACGCTGCCCCCGGTCTAGGATAGAGATCAGACACAGCTCTACGCTGCCCCCTGGTCCAGGATAGAGAACAGATGCAGCTCTACGCTGCCCCCTGGTAGAGGATAGAGATCAGACGCAGCTCTATGCTGCCCCCTTGTCTAGGATAGAGAACAGACGCAGCTCTACGCTACCCCCCGGTGGAGGATAGAGATCAGACGCAGCTCTATGCTGCCCTCTAGTGGAGGACAGAGTTTAGATGCAGCTCTACGCTGCCCCCTGGTCTACGATAGAGAACAGACGCAGCTCTACGCTGCCCCCGGTCTAGGATAGAGATCAGACACAGCTCTACACTGCCCCCTGGTCTAGGATAGAGAACAGAAGCAGCTCTACGCTGCCCCCTGGTCTAGGATAGAGATCAGAAGCAGCTCTACGCTGCCCCCTGGTCTAGGATAGAGATCAGACACAGCTCTACGCTGCCCCCTGGTCTACGACAGAGAACAGACGCAGCTCTACGCTGCTCCCGGTCTATGATAGAGATCAGACACAGCTCTATGCTGCCCCCCGGTGGAGGATAGAGAACAGATGCAGCTCTACGCTGCCCCCTGGTGGAGGATAGAGATCAGACGCAGCTCTACGCTGCCCCCTGGTCTATGATAGAGAACAGACGCAGCTCTACGCTGCCCCTGGTCTAGGATAGAGATCAGACACAGCTCTACGCTGCCCCCTGGTCTAGGATACAGAACAGATGCAGCTCTACGCTGCCCCCTGGTCTAGGATAGAGAACAGATGCAGCTCTACGCTGCCCCCTGGTGGAGGATAGAGATCAGACACAGGTCTACTCTGCCCCCTGGTCTAAGATAGAGAACAGACGCAGCTCTACGTTGCCCCCTGGTGGAGGATAGAGATCAGACACAGCTCTACGCTGCCCTCTAGTGGAGGACAGAGTTCAGACAGCTCACTGTTCTTAAACATGAGAACGTATAACATGAGAAGATAATTTGTATGTCAAATATTCTAATTTACTGCTTGATTTTTAAACTTTAATGACTATTTGAATATTCAGACTCATCTCTACTGTCTGGTTTGTAGGACTGACTATTGAACATTGTCATGTTTGAATATTTTATTGATATAATTTTGAATATTTGAATATTCTATAAGAATAAGGAAAGCTCAACATATGCATTTCACATTAATGATTAAATGAACAATTATTTTTAAATCATATCATTAATGTTTTTCCAGTTATTATTATTCTCAGTATTAATATTTATTAATTAAACTTGTTAAACAAATTAAACTGATAAAATAAAATGTAATAAGCATAAAATGTACTTTCATATAAAAGTACCAGTAAAAAGTCTCAGTAACTGAACTGCTTTTCAGTTTTAGAGTATTTTCATTACTGAATGTTCGACTATATAAATATATGTACCTGCGTGCAGCCATATCTGAGCGAGGGTCATCCAGGGGTGCAGGGGTCCCTGTTTGGGGGCGGAGCTCTGCAGGGACGAAGCGACCTCCGACAGAGCCTGCTCCACCCGCGACGCTGCGATGGAGGTGGCATGAACAGAACCTGCACACACACACACAGGCAGTCAGTAGCACCCTCTGCAGGTGTGGAGAATGTTTACTCCTACTGGAGCTCGCTCAGCAATCTGACCTCATCACTGCTGCACTACAGGCCCAAACATGGAAACGTTCACTGTGTAAAAACTAGAACATTTTACTGTCTAAACAGAAATTTTACACATCACAACACGCTTTTCACACATCGCTGCTGTCGGAACAAAACCTCGTATTTCCATTTTGTTGTTTTTCAGTTTCTGACAATGCAAAAGTACTGTTGCTCTTTGCATTGTGTGTAAATTTCATGATGAACGGACCAAAACAAATGGCCCAAAATTACTTGGCCAAAAGTCTGGTTCCATTGACGTACATTAAAAGTAAAGTATGTTTTTTCCTTCTCCTATAAAGTTACCATTTTGGAGATGCGAGGTTTTGTCAGCAGTGAAATGTCACCATACAAACTTGTCCTCTGGAACAATAAAGCTGATCTCTCCATCAATACTGCATGTCCAAAAGTATCTGGACAGTCCCACTGAGTGAGATCAGCTACCAACAGAACGGGACTCTGGAGCCGCTGCAGACAAGCCTAAAGCCCTGGATAGACTACAGGACCCTAAAAGTCCTGACAGACCATAACAGACTGAGCACCTCACACTGTCCAGCTGCTGTCTACTGATTTTTAAGTGACAAATATATTTATATTTATATAGGTGTTTAAAGGGGTCGTCGCCAAATTCTCAGAATGGATCACTGTCAAGACACTCAGTCTGATTAACTGCTCTACATATCCATATTTTTCATATTTTGAAAATTGAATGTTTTGAATCATTTGTGAATAATATTTCAGCCCTCAGGTGTTTTGAAACTTTGAAGGAAGTTCGGACGCTCCTGCACTATTAGACTAGATTACGCCTGGAGTCGAGTCAAAAACATCACACACGTTTGAAATTCTTCGACTGGTGTGAAACACGATCGGGAGGCAGTAAATCTGAGTCTGCGCCCTCACACACGACTCGACTTACTCTCCAACTGTCGACTCAGACTGACCCAAAGCCAAGGCAGGTTTATTTATAGAGCGCTGCTGTCGCTCAAAGTGATTTACAAATAAGAAAATACAAAGTGATTTAAAAATAATGGAAAATAGAAATTTAAAACATAGCAAAGAGCAAAATCATTAGTTTAATCCACTTAGGACAATAAATTGCTGTTACAGAGGAAAAGAGTCTAGAAACGCTAACAGTGTTTAAACTGAGCTGAAAGCTGCTCAAACAGGAACGTTTTCAGGCTGGTTTAAAGTGTCCAATGTCTAATGCTCTCTGTCCACTGGGTCCACTTAAGAGCAGCACAGTATCTAAACGCTGCTTCTCCATGTTTAGTCTTCACCTTCAGCAAGACTGACTGACCAGTTCCTAATGATCTGAGAGTTCTGCTCGGCTCGTATCGCTGCAGCAGATCAGATAAATACGCTGCTCCTGACCATTAAGACATTATAGAGCAGTAACAGCACCATAAAGGCTATTCTGGAACAGACTAGTAGCCAGTGTAAGGATTTAAGAATAAAGGCGGTGTCCTTCTTTTACTCCTAGTGAGACTCTGGCAGCTGCATTCTGAACCAGCTGAAGCTGTTTGATCGTCTTTTCTGGAGGTCCAGTTAGGAGAACATTACAGTGATCAAGCCCTGCTAGAAATCGCTGCCGAAATCTGCAGATGAGAGCCGACCAGCACAGACTCAGCCGTACTGAGATTCAGGGCTAAAATCGGGGTAGTGCCATGTAGTGTAACCCGGCCTAAAGGCTGCTGCACACCAGACACGTGCGTCGCAGCACGCTGATGTGCACCGGCGCTCCACGACTCCGTGCGCCACTCAGTGTTTACCATCATTATATTAAAGTCATATCGAAGGACAGAGAGCCACAGTACACCACACTGTGGCTTTAAAAGTCCACAGAGAGAGGCAGCCAGTCTTTTAGACAAACAGACAGATGCTAACAGTAAGTTACCTCAGCTAACGTTACTAGCCTAGCCTTTTTCAGCTCGACTGTCTGTGTAGAGGCAGAAAACGGACACTAAACGCTTTATTTCGCTCAATTTATAAAGAGCAGAGTGTAAAAATAAACCCAGTGTTATCGACTCTCCCCGCTGGTGTTCTACAGCAGCGCTGTTACGTGACGCTGGGCGACCCAGCACGTCCGGTGTGCAACAGCATTAAGGTCATCATGTCCAAAGCCCAGCGTGGGCACAGGTATAAAGCCCCCCAGTATTGGGCTGTGGAGCAGTGGAACTGTGTTCTCTGGAGTGATGGAGCTCCATCCAGTACCTTTGGGATGAGTTGGAGTGAGCCCGAACTGACCATCCAACATCAGTACCTGACCTCACTAATGCTCAATCAAATCCTCACAGCAATGTTCAACATCTAGACAGATCACTTTATTAACCCCAGAGGATAAACGTGTTAAAGTCGACTGTGACTGATCTCTCTGCATGTCGCCCTCAGTGCTGCTTTACAAACGACTCATAAACGCTGTGAGACGGATTAATTAAATCTGTATTCGATCATCTCAGATTCTATCACTGCAACACACAGAGCTTCAGCCTGACTGTAACACCCTGCTGCCCCCTACTGGATATATTTTGAACTGCAGTGATGAACTTCCTCAAATTTCTGGATAAATATGAAGCATAAATATGATTGTTTTTAAGGTTATTTTGAAGATGAGAAGTCCTAGTTTGGAAAAACGGACGAGTTACTAAAGCCTATAAAACACTATTTCCCGTAGAACCACTGCAGAGTTCAGCACTGCGGCACCAACAGAACATTCTGGAACTGATTTAGAGGAAACAGATGAGATCCAACATGCTGAGTTCATTGTGAAATATTTTTAACATCTCTAAAAAAATAAAATCACAGCTTGTTTCCACTTCAGGCCTGCAGTGTTTAACACTAACACTACATCAGATTTATGGGTAAAAAACTCTCACCTGTTCACACTAAATAACAGGTACTATCTACACACTGATCAGAGGGCAGTGCTTTAAACAGAACCTGGTTTAATATACAGATGTTTATGATAAATATAAGGGATTTTTTTCTCCTGTTTGAGCTGAAACAGTTCTGAGAGGATTCAGGGAAACAGGACTGAGGGTCAAAACTGAGGATCTCTGTCCATCAGCTCAGCGCACACACACACACACACACACACACACACACACACACACACACACACAGTGTTTTTTTGCATTTGTATTGCACTGTCCCTTTAAGACTGATTTATATAAATGACCTAAACTGCTGTAGGCTGAATGGGTGGGGCTAAACTGCTGTAGGCTGAGTGGGTGGGGCTAAACTGCTGTAGGCTGAGTGGGCGGGGCTAAACTGCTGTAGGCTGAGTGGGTGGGGCTAAACTGCTGTAGGCTGAATGGGTGGAGCTGAACTGCTGTAGGCTGAATGGGTGGAGCTGAACTGCTGTAGGCTGAATGGGCGGAGCTGAACTGCTGTAGGCTGAATGGGCGGAGCTGAATTGCTGTAGGCTGAATGGGCGGGGCTAAACTGCTGTAGGCTGAATGGGTGGAGCTGAACTGCTGTAGGCTGAATGGGTGGAGCTGAACTGCTGTAGACTGAATGGGTGGAGCTGAACTGCTGTAGGCTGAATGGGTGGAGCTGAACTACTGTAGGCTGAATGGGTGGGGCTAAACTGCTGTAGGCTGAATGGGTGGAGCTGAACTGCTGTAGGCTGAATGGGTGGAGCTGAACTGCTGTAGGCTGAATGGGTGGAGCTGAACTGCTGTAGGCTGAATGGGTGGAGCTGAACTGCTGTAGGCTGAATGGGCGGGAGCTGAAACTGCTGTAGGCTGAATGGGTGGAGCTGAAACTGCTGTAGGCTGAATGGGTGGAGCTGAACTACTGTAGGCTGAATGGGTGGAGCTGAACTGCTGTAGGCTGATTGGGCGGGGCTAAACTGCTGTAGGCTGAATGGGTGGAGCTGAACTGCTGTAGGCTGATTGGGCGGGGCTAAACTGCTGTAGGCTGAATGGGTGGAGCTGAACTGCTGTAGGCTGATTGGGCGGGGCTTAACTGCTGTAGGCTGACTGGGCGGGGCTAAACTGCTGTAGGCTGAATGGGTGGAGCTGAACTGCTGTAGGCTGAATGGGTAGATGTGTGTTAGTGAATTAGTTTAATTCACTGATTAAATAAAACTCAACAATCTGTCACACACTGTGAATTTCCCAAGATGCACCAGGCAGAGCTGAAGGGGCAGAGAGCGTAACCATGGAAGCCCATGCCAGGGGGAGGAGCTTCAAAGCAAAAGCAAAAGCACATGTGTTCTTAAAGAGACAGTACCGTCCTCAGAGCAGCGCTGCTCAGACAGCGACAGCGTGAATTCACTGTACAGGTCTGAACTGTAATCAGGCCTGCAGCTAATCATGATTCCTACAGCCCAGTGGCGCTGACCCGGTCCTCACACACCACCAGGTGGTCAAGACGAACCACAGCTGTAGTCTATTTATCTTTTGAGTATTATTAGTTCAACTGATCTAAATATCCTGTCCTTTTCAGTTTCTCTCTCTGTTCCGTTTGTACAAAATAAGATTTCTTGCAGCAAAACAGTAGAAGCCATATCGCCCCCTTCACTTCCTGTGGTGTATTACAGTCTGTCAGAATGATTGTGTTGATTATATGAACATTATAGAGTATTAATTTAAAAAAAAAAAAAATCTTGATCAATCTTGTTGACTAATAATCACTGACTAATAGTTGCAGCCCCAGTTGTAATATTTTTGAGTACTGTAATATTAATATAGTGCACTGTGTGAGAAGGACGCTGTCTCTTTAAGACCCTGCAGGACGCTGGGCTGGGGGGGCACAGAGACATGGATCAGAAGGTAAAAGAAGGCAGTGAGTCTAACACAGAGACAAAGAGTCTGTATGTGTGTGTACAGTAATAAACGGGTAATAAACAGATGCAGAGGGCAGTGTAATAATGAGGAGTGTGTATGAAGGCGTTTATAAATATGTGTTTCATGTTTTTTCTCAGATACTGAAAAACGTATCATTTGAACTTAATGTTGTTCAGACTGGAAACTAATTCAATGAAGAGGTCTGTGGTCCACAGTACTGCACACACACACACACACACACACACACACACACACACACACACGCAGATACATGTATGTGCGCGCGCACGTGTGTGTGTGTGTGTGTGTGTGTGTGTGTGTGTGTTTATGAACAGAGCGTTAGTGTTAGAGCTGAAAGGCAGAGCAGTGAGAGCAGAGCTACTTACAAACCCCAAAAAAGGTATCAAAACCATGAAAGTAAGCATCTGGAGGGTTTCCTTCGAAATCAAAACACAAAATAAACACAAACAGGGGAAATTACTTAAAAAAGGAAAAGAAAACAATGTTTAAGGAAATACAGAAAGAAATACAGCAGAAAGGAAATAGGTTCTCCCTCATTTTCCCCAGCAGAGTTCACAGGGTTCTAAAATTCCACAGAGCTCTGAGAGGAGGAACCGTGAAGGTTCTGCTTCCCAGCTTCTCACCGACTCCAGACCGGCGGCCATTCTCTCTCACATTAGAGCCACAGGTCAGCAAAATATCTAACTGCCAAATATTCTCCTCTCTGAGCCTGAATGGAGTCACTCAACATCTTCCTTTATCTGTAGTGCTGGAGCTACGAGGCTAACGAAGCTAACGAGTAAAGGAAGGTGATACACCACCAACTAGACACGGCTAGTTTACTTGTACAGCACCTCTCAGACACTGCGGTCATTCAGAGAGACTGACATCAGAAAGTACAAAATTCATTATAAATTACAATACAAATAGTAACATAAAACAGAAAGGAAATTAAAACATGATTAACACAAAACAATAGATTTCAAAAGAGAAGATAATCATAATTTAAGGTCAAATTAAAAATTAAACATTAACAATTAAATTAGGATACAATCCGATGACTGGAGTGTTTGGACTACAACAAATATTCCCCATAAAATAACACAAAAACATCACCTAACATACGGCACACATACAGAACATGTTTGTGTTGATTTTTGGGGAATATGTGTAGTACACTCTCAAAATTATGGTTCTTCAAGGGTTCTTTAGTAAAGACAGTGACTTTATATAGAACTATGAAAACTCAAAGAACCATCTGCATGCTTGACTGTTTCTTTGCATGGTGAAACGGTTCCTCAGTTTGATGGTTCTATATAGAACATTTAAAAAAAACACTTCTATATAGCACTAAAAATGGTTCTTCTACTATTACAAGCTTAACATCACAACAACAGCAGAACCCTTTTTGGTCCTATATAGAACCATTTTCAAAAAGGTTCTATATAGAATCAAATACACACATTCTCCATCAATCTGAAGAACAATTTCACCATGTAAAGAACCATTTAAGCATGCGGATGGTTCTTGGAGTGTTCATGGTTCTATATAGAACCACTGTCATTACTGAAGAACCCTTGGAGAGCCATCTTTTTTAAGAGTGTTGTAGCCTTTGGCCTACATTAGTCTACATTAGTCTACATTAGCCTACATTAGCCTCATAGCTCCAGCGCTAACACAGCGACGCGGCTGACTGACTGCAGTTCAGGTAAAGGGAGGCTGTTTTTGGCTGAACTGTCACTTTAAAGCTCATTTAATCTGAGCACATACAGACGAGTCAGACACAGAGACGACAGTCAGAACTCAGGAGTGACGGACAGTGGAGTGGACAGAGAGTGAGCTGACCTGCAGTGTGGGACAGTTAAATACCTGCGTAAAGATACCTGGACAGGAAACCTCGTTTACCATAATGACTCTCCGTCTCTCCTTCATCACCTACTTCATTTAGAACAGAGACCTTCGTCTGTCCACTGTTCTACTGACATTCCTGTGTGAAGCGCTCTTTATAATTAAAATCAAAAGTGCTACACAAATAAAGATCACTATTATTATCATTATTATTATTAGTAATATTATTACAATCTCTCTGGATCAGCACTGATCTGTGTAGATTCTGATTGGTGTACAGTGTCTGATAGAGAGTCGCTCTCTGACTCTCACTCTCTGGTTTAGTTTCAGTGTCAGTATCTCATTAAACTCACAGCAGTGCAAACAGGCTTCAGTCTGACCTGAGACCAGCTACACTAGATACACCTCAACACAACCTCAGTTAACTAAACCACAGTTAAACCGCAGTTAAACCAGTTAAACCACAGATAAACCAGTTAAACCACAATTCAACCAGAGTTAAACTGCAGGTAAACCAGTCTAACCACAGTTACACCACAGTTAAACCATAGTTAAATCAGTTAAACTGCAGTTAAATTAGTTAAACCAGTTAAACCACAGACTTCCCTCAGCAAAACCAAACATTACTCAAACCTGAAATCCTTACCAAAAACCCCATTTAAAACTAGGCTTAATCCCTGACCAGGACACTGACCCAAAGTAGATTTAAATAGTGTAAATTGACATCACTGGCAAAAATACAGATTGACTTATTATTTAGACATAAACTGTATAGAAACTAAAATATTGTCGCTATAGAAACAAAGTCAGTGTCATAATTTGACACATTCTGAAGACGCCAGCTGCCCAACTTCCTGCTAAACTGACCGACAGAGAGGATTAAACGTTATGAACACTCTGTTCTTCCTCTGTAAAGTTACTGTTTCAGAGCTACGAGGTTTTGATCCGACTGTGATGATTTATTGTTTATATAATACAGTTCTGTGACTGTACTGGGCTGCTGGCTCCCATCACTCCCACTCACATTTCCACTCACATTCCACTGTGAAGACTGTCAGAAATCCACATCATCACTCACAGGGTCCATCTCAAAACCAAACCCCCAACAGACCTCATCAGGTAGAACAGATGATTTCACTGCACTGGATACATGATTGGAATTCAATGCTATCCTGAACCTAACAGCCCTACTACAGCAGGTCTAACTGGAATTATGGGATACACAAATCCAGTCTCAGATCAGCCTAAAAGACCTGAACAGAGTTGAACCTCGTAATCACACAGCAAATCTCCAGCAAACCTGCAGCAGTAGCAGTGCAGTACAGTTAAAGGAGCCGGACTGGGCGGTTAGAGGAGCGGGATGAGGGGGTTAGAGGAGCTGGATTGAGTAGTTAGTGGAGCCGAATTGGGAGGTCACAGGAGCCAGATTGGGAGGCTAAAGATGCCAGATTAGCGGGTTAGAGGTGCAGGTATAGGAAGTTAGAGGAGTGGGATTAGGATGCTGTAGGAGCTGAGCTGAGCGATTAGAGGAGCAGGATTGGGAGTTCAGAGGAGCTGGATTGGGAGGTCAGAGGAGCTGGATTGGGGGTGTTAGAGGAGCGGATTAGGGGGTTAGAGGAGCCAGACTGAGCAGTTAGAGGAGCTGGATTGAGAAGTTAGAGGAGCTGGACTGAGCAGTTAGAGGAGCTGGACTGAGCAGTTAGAGGAACCAGTTAAGAAGGTTAGAAGAGCGGGATTGGGAGACAAGAGGAGCCGGACTTGGGGGTTGGCGGGATTAGGCAGTTGGAGAAAAGTCCAGTCGTGTGTTACTGGCAGCGGACGGACGCCGGCGAGGAAAGTGGTCACAGAAAGCGTGGCCCACTGGTCTGAACACTGCAGCGTCACTCTTGGGTGGAGGAGGAGGAGGACGAGGAGGAGGTGGGGGAGGAGGAGGTGGGGCAGGATAGAGGGATGGGAGAGCAAAGAGAGGAGAGGAGGAGAACTCAGACCCCACAAAAGAGGAAGAGGAGCGAGACGCTAGAAATAAAAACACAAAACAACATCAAAGAAAATGAATCAACCTCATAACAGAAGACTGAGAAAGAAAGACGAGACAAACAAACAGCATGAGAAATAAAGATGAAACAAAACATCATAAAATACTGTAAATAAGACAGAAAGAAGATCAAAGGGATACAGTGTCATATTTGAAGAGCTGGGAAAGAATTTCCTTCTCCAGGCTCCGCCCACAAATGTGTTCACCATAGCTACTGACATAGAACACTGACTCTAAATGTAGGTATTGTGATATAAACTGAGTCTGTTCTACAGTTTCTCATTAGGCTGAATGAATAACCGACTCTAAAGGTAGGTATTGTGATATAAACTGAGTCTGTTCTACAGTTTCTCATTAGGCTGAATGAATAACCGACTCTAAATGTAGGTATTGTGATATAAACTGAGTCTGTTCTACAGTTTCTCATTAGGCTGAATGAATAACCGACTCTAAAGGTAGGTATTGTGATATAAACTGAGTCTGTTCTACAGTTTCTCATTAGGCTGAATGAATAACCGACTCTAAAGGTAGGTATTGTGATATAAACTGAGTCTGTTCTACAGTTTCTCATTAGGCTGAATGAATAACCGACTCTAAAGGTAGGTATTGTGATATAAACTGAGTCTGTTCTACAGTTTCTCATTAGGCTGAATGAATAACCGACTCTAAAGGTAGGTATTGTGATATAAACTGAGTCTGTTCTACAGTTTCTCATTAGGCTGAATGAATAACCGACTCTAAAGGTAGGTATTGTGATATAAACTGAGTCTGTTCTACAGTTTCTCATTAGGCTGAATGAATAACCGACTCTAAAGGTAGGTATTGTGATATAAACTGAGTCTGTTCTACAGTTTCTCATTAGGCTGAATGAATAACCGACTCTAAAGGTAGGTATTGTGATATAAACTGAGTCTGTTCTACAGTTTCTCATTAGGCTGAATGAATAACCGACTCTAAAGGTAGGTATTGTGATATAAACTGAGTCTGTTCTACAGTTTCTCATTAGGCTGAATGAATAACCGACTCTAAAGGTAGGTATTGTGATATAAAGCGATTAATGGGGTTTTTAACAATGTTCTGTAAAGCTTGTCTAAACTCACAACAGCAGCTACAGAAGAACACATTTAAGGAGAGACCTGAAGGAACTGGAGTGTGTTAACAGCACAGACACACAGACTATCAGCAGAAAGTCAGAGGTCAGAGGTCAGGAATATACCCCTCAGGCCTGTGGAACACACACACTGCTGATACTGCTGTCACAGCAATGGGCGGAGTGTGTGTGTGTGTGTGTGTTTGTGAACCGTACCAGTCTCTGGGTCGCTGAAGTCTGGCAGGGTCATAGTGTTGAGCTGTCTGCGGTCAGCGATGGCTCTGTCCAGCAGACTGCTGCCTCGCCCTGAATCACTACAGACAGACATACAGACAGACAGAGGTTATTAGAGTGGAGCTGGTCTCTGATACAGAGCATTAGAGCGCTTTTTAAATGAAACAGTAGAAGCCATATCGCCCCCTACGCTTCCTGTGGTGTATTACAGTCTGTCAGAGTGACTGTGTGGATCATATGAACATTATAGAGGCTTTTTAAATGAAACAGTAGAAGCCATATCGCCCCCTACACTTCCTGTAGTGTATTACAGTCTGTCAGAATGACTGTGTGGATCATATGAACATTGCAGAGTGTGTGTGTGAGTGTATCTACCTGGGGTTGGTGAGGTTGTAGCAGGATTTCCAGATCTGCAGCATGTGTTTACAGGTCAGCAGAGCTTCTTCAGGCCCGCGGCACAAAGTCTCTAATTTGACTTTGGTAAACAGCAGCCTAAACACAAAACACACACTCGATATACACACTTACGTGGCTACTTTTTAATTAATCATTTATTTTCATTATATTCTTTCCCATTTGTCCCCAATCTGTAGTCATTTATTTATGACAGTATCCTGGTTCTTCTAAAAACTATTTTCTCATGGTTTGAAAAATAACAGCGATCAGTTTACAACACTCAGTTATTTACAGCCGACTCTGTCAACATCTGTACAAAGAGTTTTCAGGAATAAAGTATAAATGTCTGTATGACAGAAGTGTTGTCAGACTGCTGGACAGCGTACTCTTCAGTAAAGACTTCATCATTTCTGTCTCCTGCCATGTAAAATTGTTTACAGTGTCCTGGACTGGGTTACACTGGTCTTTAATAAGTTTTGTTTAAAGGTGCTGCAGAACGTAAAGCTGTGTTTTCGTTGGTGAAGCTGAATGAGTAAAGTTCAGTATCTGGAACTGACACACACTGAACCTCAGACTCTGCTGCCTCTCCTTCACACACTGACCCTGCTTTTGTAAAAGAGGCAGTAAAACGGGCCGATTCCAGAACCCTAAACTGTTACATAACAGTCTGAACTCATTAATATTCACACCCCCAAAATTCACATACACCCGCCCACATTCCAGCCCAGCGACACAACGACAACAGCAGCAATGAAAATGTCAGACTGTGTGCAGAAACGCAGCTCCAAGCTGTGAAGGAACATCGGAACTTTTTGTTTCCTTCACAAGAACCGAACTGTCAGCGGCTGATGATCATCTTTTATCCAGGCTGAAGGGCTTCCTGTTCGCCAGCTTCTTAATCAAATGTTCCACCTTAGAACGTAACTGCATTTAAGGTGGAACAGAAGATTCTCAAACCAAGCTGGCGAACAGGAACTTCAGCTCCCACATCTCTAACAGGATCCCGACAGCTGTAACTCAGAGCTGTTAGCTTCTCTGCTCATTTCACTCTGGACAGTTTCTCAAAGCTCGGACAGCATCGAGCAGCTTCGCTCAGCGTTTGACCCTGAAGAGACGCAGCTCCACCTTTATTAGCACCACAACCCCAACAGCAGCCTGTAAGCAGCCCTGCTGAGAGGTTTTATCAGTTTCTGATGGTTAAATCATCTTAAACTGAAGCTTCATAGTGAGCAGCTTTAACTTACTGTGTGTTGTTGTTGAGATCAAAGCGAGTAGCTAGTTTAGCTAACGTTAGCGACTAGCGAGCTAAACTAAACAGTATGAGGACCAGCTTATTTACACTGAGGGTCAGTTTATTTTCCTGCTGTGTTTATTTCCACATGTTGCTCCAGCCAATCAGAGCAGAGCTCATCAGATTATTCATGAGCCCCAAAAAAGGGAAAACAGCTCATTTCAGTCTAGGGCCAAATCACAGGGCTGTAAAACCACATCTGGGCATTTTTCACCCTGAACAAAGACAAACCCCTTCTCTGTAGAATCAGAGGACAGTTTTAAATGCTGAATAAATGTATATATGGCACCTTTAAGTTTGTGTGTGAAGTCTTCACTGAGTCCTTAGATACACTAGTTAGTTTCAAACTATCCGTACTAAATTTGATTGCAGTACAAATACACAGTCATGTCTTAACTAGTAACAAATAACCAATGTGCACATCGCTTTAACGTAACATATTCAGAACCATCAATAAACCCACTTCCATGGAAACGCGAAGGCAGCTTGCCATGACTTGATATCCAGCCTAGAAGAGATCTGATCTAAGAAACAAATCCGATTCGCCTGCAGTCTGAACACAGCCTAACTGTACACCAGCAAGGAGGAGCTACAGGACAGGGGGTTCTGATAATGTGGCCAGGGAGTGTACACTCACATGAAGTTCTCCGGGTACTCGCTGAGCGCCATCTCGATGATGTTGAGGGCATCGTGGTAATGTTTCTGGGCGGACAGCAGCAGCGCCAGCAGGTGCAGGGAGTGGACATCATCACCCTGTAACTGCAGAGCCTGCCGGACGTAACCCAGCGCCTCCGGGATCTACAGACACACAGGAGATACCCGTTGACCATCAGCTCTGATCAGGACCAGCACCATCAGCAGAACCTGATCTCAGAATCTGAATAGAGCATGATGGACAGAATGACATCCTCTGAGAGTCAATCAGTGCAAACAGAAGGAGGAGAACACGAGAGAAATTATACAGAACAGGAGGAGGAGAAGAGGAGGAAAACAGAGCTCTGAGATGGGGGGGTACTACGATCACCTGTTAGCCATGCATACCCACAATACACTGTGTGAGCAGAACAATAATAAAGAGAGCTGTTCAATCAAGCCAGTTTCCACTGCGGCACCAGCGAGCTTATTATCTGGCGCACTGCGCAGGGACGATGGCTGGGGTGACAACTGGGACAATGGATGGGGCTATTATGGGATGATTACTGGGCCGATTATTGGGGCGATGGCTGAAACGATAGCGAAGGCGATGGCTGGGATGGCGGCTGGGGCAATTTTTGGGACAATGGCTAGGGTGACGGCTGGAATGATGGTTGGCACGATTGTTGTGACGATGGCTGGGCTGATGGCCGGATGGCAGGGGTGATGACTTTCACAACTGTAGGGCCGATTGCTGGGGCAATGGATGGGACAATTGTTGTGAAGACAGCACAATACGGAACGGTGGATGGCAGGATGGCTGGAACAGCGGCTGGGGAGATGGCTTTGATGATTATTGGGGCGATGGCTGGATGGCTGGGACAATAGTTACATGCAGTTACTGTTATGTATGCCATGAGTGCATCTACTGTCCCTTCCTAACACACACACACACACACACACACACACACAAACACAAACAGTCTTACCTGGCGGGACACGGCTAACTGCAGCGCCAGATAGAACGCAGCCAGGTGATCTGTAGGAGAGAGAGACTGAGCCCTGAGAGAGAGAGAGAGAGAGAGAGAGAGAGAGAGAGAGAGAGAGAGAGTGTACATAAAACAACATTAACTCAACCTAAAGAACTATTAATTAAATTAACAGTATTTATTAATATTAATAAATTAATTAAATCAAATTAAACCTACTAATTATTTTGCTGAGTGTGGAGTGCAGCATTCACCTCCGTAATTATTCAGTAATTGCAGATTATAATAATCAGAATGTAAGAATATAATAAAGATCAGAACCTCTGAAACGCTCCCAGAGCTTTCCTCTGATACTCCTCCTGCAAACCCCGCAGAGACGCTGCACAGAGAAACACAGGAGCACAAGCACCATCACAATCAGAACAACAGTCACCATGACCACTGGCCGAGCGCGAGTGCCTTAATAGAGAATTTATTTTTGACAAATTTGGCACTTTAGTAAAGAACGATGGAGAACACAAATAATGAATTAATGATATAATAAACACTCTCTAAGCATAATAAACAGAACAGTATTAGTATTAGTCTGGCGTTACTCACCGTCTGTAGCCTTCAGGCTGTAAACGAGGCCGAGGGCGAGGTGACCTTTTGCCCGAAACTCCGGAGCTTTATCCTCCATATCCACCACCATCTTAGCAAAGCGCTCCCCCTCCTCCAGCTACAAACACACACACACACACACACACACACACACACACACACACACAAACAAACAAACAAACAAACAAACACAATAACACACACAGGTCAGTATTTCTTCAAAGTTATTACTTCTGTTCAATACCTTAAGTATATACATACAATAAATACATAGTTTATATATAGTAAACAAAGTAAGTGTTTTTTCACATTACATACATACATACATACATACATACATACATATGTTATGTGCAGAAAAAACTACGTGGCTGGAGCTAAACTGCTGTAGACTGAATGGTGGGGCTAAACTGCTGTAGCTGAATGGTGGAGCTAAACAGCTGTAGACTGAATGGTGGGGCTAAACTGCTGTAGCTGAATGGTGGAGCTAAACAGCTGTAGACTGAATAGTGGGGCTAAACTGCTGTAGCTGAATGGTGGAGCTAAACAGCTGTAGCTGAATGGTGGGGCTAAACAGCTGTAGACTGAATGGTGGGGCTAAACAGCTGTAGACTGAATGGTGGGGCTAAACAGCTGTAGCTGAATGGTGGAGCTAAACAGCTGTAGCTGAATGGTGGAGCTAAACAGCTGTAGCTGAATGGTGGAGCTAAACCGCTGTAGCTGAATGGTGGGGCTAAACCGCTGTAGCTGAATGGGTGGGGCTAAACCGCTGTAGCTGAATGGGTGGGGCTAAACTGCTGTAGCTGAATGGTGGAGCTAAACCGCTGTAGCTGAATGGTGGAGCTAAACTGCTGTAGCTGAATGGTGGAGCTAAACTGCTGTAGCTGAATGGTGGAGCTAAACTGCTGTAGCTGAATGGTGGAGCTAAACGTCTGTAGCTGAATGGTGGAGCTAAACAGCTGTAGCTGAATGGTGGGGCTAAACTGCTGTAGCTGAATGGTGGAGCTAAACAGTTGTAGCTGAATGGTGGGGCTAAACTGCTGTAGCTGAATGGTGGAGCTAAACAGCTGTAGCTGAATGGTGGAGCTAAACTGCTGTAGCTGAATGGTGGGGCTAAACGCTGTAGCTGAATGGTGGAGCTAAACAGCTGTAGCTGAATGGTGGGGCTAAACAGCTGTAGCTGAATGGTGGAGCTAAACAGCTGTAGCTGAATGGTGGGGCTAAACAGCTGTAGCTGAATGGTGGGGCTAAACAGCTGTAGCTGAATGGTGGAGCTAAACAGCTGTAGCTGAATGGTGGAGCTAAACAGTTGTAGCTGAATGGTGGGGCTAAACTGCTGTAGCTGAATGGTGGGGCTAAACTGCTGTAGACTGATTGGTGGGGCTAAACTGCTGTAGACTGATTGGTGGGGCTAAACTGCTGTAGACTGATTGGTGGGGCTAAACTGCTGTAGCTGAATGGTGGGGCTAAACTGCTGTAGCTGAATGGTGGAGCTAAACAGCTGTAGCTGAATGGTGGAGCTAAACAGCTGTAGACTGAATGGGTGGGGCTAAACTGCTGTAGGCTGAATGGGTGGGGCTAAACTGCTGTAGGCTGAATGGGTGGGGCTAAACTGCTGTAGCTGAATGGTGGGGCTAAACTGCTGTAGCTGAATGGGTGGGGCTAAACTGCTGTAGCTGAATGGGTGGGGCTAAACTGCTGTAGGCTGAATGGGTGGAGCTAAACTGCTGTAGGCTGAATGGGTGGGGCTAAACTGCTGTAGCTGAATGGGT